TTCTTTTTAGCATTGAATAGTACCCCATTGTCTGGATGTGCCGCAGTTTATTTATCCATTCAGCTACTGAAAGATATCTTGGTGCTTCCATGCTTTGGCAATTATAAATAAAGCTGATATTTATGTTCAGGTTTTTGTAAGGACATACAATTTCAAGTCCTTTGGGTAAATACCAAAGAATGCAACAGCTGGATCAGTTTTGGAAGAAATTGCCAAATTATCATCCCAGTTTGCTATACCTTTTTTAATGCTTAACAGCAATGAATGAGATTTTCTATTGCTCCATATCCTCATTCTTCTATCGATCCATTTCCAAGTGTGTACCTAAGAATGTGGAATTGTATACCAAATATCCTCATTCCAGAGCCCTTTGCTGTTAATTAAGGCCAAAAAGGAAACATTTCTACTCCTAGAATAGTAAAAAATGCTAAGATTTTTTGCAGGTTAAGCATCCATATGAGCATTTGTGAAATAATCGTGCCTTTTCTGCTATAATACTTCTCAAGTAGAGGGTATGATTTCTTTGAAAAGTTGACCCTAGTTTGAAGTCCTGGTTCCAATTTTAACCTAATTTAACAATATGTAGTACTGTCTTAATTTAATAACATACGGCATTGTGAAAGCTATTCACCTTTCTGTGCCATAATTTCTTCACATTTTTGAGCTAGAGTTGACTAGACAATTTCAAAGATTTCAATATCTCTTTATTCTTAAATTCTCTGACTGTAAAGGGAGAGAAGGGACTCAATCATGTGTATATAATGAGCAATCCTAATTTTGAGAACACTTTGTTTTTAACTTTAGAAGATCAATTCATTATTTATTATAATGTAACTACTTACTGGTTTCTTGTTTGAGTGTCACATTATCAGGGAAGAAAAATTAATTAATTAATGTTCATCCCAAAGTAGGGAATGTTTTTAAGACTATTGAGAAGTCCGGATTTAAAACATGTATACATGATCTGTTCTGAAAAACAAGATATTTTTTATTAATTTAGGCTAACGTCAGTCATTGCTGCATCCGATACTATTGCTTATCAATACATCATTGAAAAGTTTGGAAATTTAGATAAAAACCTTCACTGGATATAGTTTATGTTTTCTGTACTAAACACAAGGGGTAGTAGAAGAAAGTAGGTCAGTAAAAATACAAGTAATATGCTTCCTGACCAGAATCAGTTTTTATTCTAATAAATGAGACAAATATAAGCCAAAAATACATGTGAATGACTATGAGAACTATGTGATATACATTGATTAAAACAAATTTTGGAAATACCTGATTTCAAGTTTCCAAAGTGGAACACTAGAGATCCAGTGTGATATGATCACCCTTGCTTAGCAGTTAAGGGCATGCTTTTGAATAAGATGAGCTTGAGTGCTGTAGTACAATTGATACACTGTTTTACCTTAGGCAAGTCCCTTTATTGCTGTAATCCTCACTTTTCTCACTTAGAAAGTGGGAATGATAATTTTATTTGTCTCAAAAGACTAATGTGATAAATGAGATAATATTTTTGTAGTGTTTAGCATCATGCCAGCACATATGTGGTTAAAATATGTTAACGATCATTTGTAAGTAATTACATGTTTCTATGTTAATGAATCTCACTGTAGTGAATGATGAATGCCAGAGAATACTCCTGGCTCTAGGAAAGCAGCTGGACTATTGGAGATTTTTTTCTCCTTTCTCTTTAATTCTTTGATTTATATAACCATGAAGTATCAAAAGAGTAATGTTAGTCAGTATAGAAGACTGAAAAGTTCAATATTATTATGTTAAAATGGCTTTGTGCAGTCTAAGATCTAATTTTGTTGAAGAAATGAATTCATTTACTACAAAACACTATCTCTTTTACTGCAAATGATTTGTGTGCAAATTGCCTTGCTAGGAGATTCTAGAATTGTACACCAATGCCTTTCTCCCTACCTTTCAATTAAGCTTTTATATATAGATCAGAACTCAATCACTTGGTCATGAGTAGAGCATGGTAATACCTGATTCTGGTGTGGACATTTAAAACATTTATCAACCATCTATACAAGAGATATTTCCTCCCAACTTTTGGTTTGCTTACTATTTTAAATAATTAGTTTGCTTTTTTTTGCTATAGAGTATTAAAGCAAGGTAAAAAGTAATTATCTATCAAATTTACCTGTAATGCTTTAGCTTTTCTTATTGATCCAATTAAGTACTTACTCTAAGCATGAGCCAAGTTCCACAGCATATGGCAACAATTGTAATTTACCCTAGCCATTTGTTGCAACTTAATATGTGTCTATTGATTTTGGTTCTTAACTGTTGTAAACACTAACAGTTTTCATCATTTAGAAGTTACAGCACTCTAGTCTGATAGTTAAATCTGAGGGAGGGATGCTTCATTTGGATGAGAAGCTTTTTATGCCAACATAAAAAGCATCATGACTTACTTTTACTTAAGGCTATTGGAGTTACGATAGATTAGGGAAACAGCATGAGATTATAAAGCACATCATGTATGCATGTATTCCTCATTTATACTCATTCAGGAATGGAAAGTATTATCTGTCATTACAAGCTATTTTAAGACTTTGAGTGTGTTATTAGTTTCAAATTTTCCATGATTACAACTTAGATATACAACAGAGAGAATATAATGATACAACTAAATGCACACTCTCTTTTTTAATATCTGTCACTTAGTGAAAAGCAAAAACTTTTAAAGCATTGCACTTAGCCTGAAGTGTAAAGAAATGAAGTGCTTGCTCTTGAACAGAAAGAATAATCAAAATCTAGTTAGGCAATTAACATCTTTGGTTTTTGTTCCACTCCATACTTCATCATCATGACACCCATATATTTATCTCTGAGTGGACACATATGAGAAGTTGAGTCTAGGAAGCTGAAAAACTGCTGGAACTTTTTCATATATCCTAAAGGTAGAAGACAATGGACACAATTTTACTGTCTATATACCATCGTTTATCTTCTTTAACATTCACCCTTCCTTAGAAGACTGAGAATAACACCTTGGAGGGTTTGGTGTTTCATTCACATAGAAATGCTAAGTGGCTCTAGTTCCTAATGACATCTCCGTATAACATGGTTCTTAGGAGAACAAGCTCTTTGCACAAATCTAGAAGGAGGAATAGTGAGTAGAAATGTGGCATTGTCTGGTTTGCATGTTAATGTGGAAGACTGCTTTGGAGACATGAATATATATACACGCTTCTCAGGCTAAATTTGTCTCTGTCAAATAATTGTATAAGTCACAATTTTTGTATATGATAAAATATTTTACTAAAAAAAGCAAGAGCTAACCTGATTAACCAAATTTAAATAAGTTACATAAAACTCAAACAAACAAACAAACAAAACCAAAAAACCCCACTTTTGCTTGTTATCTAGATTTCATTACAGCTGGCTTGTGGATATTTATTTTCTTCTTTTATTTGGAACATATCCCCTTGTTTCTTCATTTTCCTTGACTCTCTTTTGGTTTCTGTGCATTATAAGAGAACCATCTTGTATTAGTCCATTTTCACACTGCTATAAAGAACTATCTGAGACTGGGTAATTTATGAAGAAAAGAGATTTAATTGATGACTCACTGTTCTGCAGGCTTAACAGCAAACATGACTGGAAGGCCTCAGGAAACTTACAATCATGGCAGAAGGCGAAAGGGAAGTAGTCACCTTGTTCACATGGCAGTAGGAGACAGAGAGTGAAGGAGCACGTGCCATACACTTTTAAACCATCAAATCTCGTGAGAACTCACAATCACGAGAACAGGAAAGAGGAAATATGCCCCTATCATCTAATCACCTCCCACCAGGCCCCTCCTCCAATTCCACATGAGATTTGCATAGGGACACAAATCCAAACCATATCACACCTCTCTCAGTGTTGTTAGACTTACACACCCTCAAATTCATTTGTTAAGAAATACCAAAAATGAACGCAGATTTTGAGGAAAATAGAAACCTCAAAATGTAAGCATTAATTTTAAAGCTGCTTAATAATTATATCTACATGTGATGGAGTAATTGGATTGTACATGCTTAGGAAAGATTAGACAAAAATATAAATATTTTTAAAAGAGATTATGAGAAAAATCATGAATCCTTTTATATTTCTTTTCAATAGCAGATGAAATTTATGTTGATTTTACTGTATGTCTATGATAACACTTCTTTGATTTTTCAATTTTTACTTTTTGCTTTATTTTAGAATTTATTTTTAGATAGTTCATATATGTTTTTGCTCTACAAAATAAATAAACATATTAGTTAAATTATATTATTTAGTTACGAGGTTTTATTTCTGGTAGATGCAAGATATACTTCTAAAAGGCAAAAAGGAGAAGCATTTAATTTAACCTTAAGTTGTTTTGCCTTTTTAATTTTTTGTTAAGGGTTTGCAGGGAAAAAAACTCAGTCGTATTGACTTTTGATCACCTGCCCTTGGAAATGAAAATGATGCTAAGTTTCTTCTTATTTCCTATTCTCTTCCCTGTTGAGTAGTTATGCTTGAGAATCAGTTTTACTAATGGAAGACTGCTTAATTTAATAGTTGCAAAAGATATCTTAGGAGAGCAATTTGGCAATTGTGAAAAGTGAAATGGGATCTTACTTGTCAGGTTTAGAATTAAAACAACAATGATAGCCACCAAATCAAACACATTTTATGGGTTGTGGGAACAAGGATGAACTTCGCTAAATCACTGACTGGTCAAGTATTACAGGCATAATGTGATTCAAGCCACAGCAGAGACATTCTGGTGACTTTGCTTTGTACATATTCTCATGCCCTTTTTTCTCTTGTGTGTGTCTCTTTTACGTTGCTTTTCCCATTAGATATAAACCTATAGGAGGAGTTTTCCTGTTGTCACTATTGAATCCCAGGACTGACATCTGACATGTCCTTCACATTTAGGTCTGATTGTAAATGTTATATACTCAATGCCTAAACAAAGTTTGTCTCACCATGGCTATTCAACTTCTGGTTTAATTTTTTAGATAATGAGGAATGAATAAGAGAGACAGCAGGTGAAAATGGATGCCAACTATGAACTACATGCAGGTAGGGAAGACTTCCCAGAGGAGGTAAAGTGAGAGCAAAGAGCACAATAAAACGAAGCCACAAGCTGCGTGGGGACATAATGGAGGAGCGTTCTTGGGCAGTAGAAATAGCAAGATCCTCATCTCCAGGGTGAAGTCTGAATGGTGTGTTTGAGAAACACCAAGGAAGCAAAGAGAGCAAAAGCAATGATGGCAGAAGGTGACATAGGAGAGGCTGACAGGGCCCAGGCATATTAAGGGCCCATGTAGACTTCTGTAAAATCCTTTGGGTTTTACTCTAGGTAAAGCGAGATCCCATCAAGGGAGTTTGAAAAAGCAGTGGCTTGCTTAAATTTCTATTTTAAAAGAGAACTCTGAAAATACGGTGAACAAAATGTAATGAAATTCTACCTCATAAAACCTGAGATACAGCAATAGTAGAGCTTAGAAGTAAAAGTATGTAAAGTTTAAAAACAGGCAAAAGTAAATGGAAGCAGAAAAAGCCAGGAAAGCAGTTGCATATTGGCATGATGACTGGGAATTCTGGGATGCTAAGAGTGTTCTATTTCTTGATTTGGGTGCCAGTGATACTAACATATTTATTTTACATACAGTTCTACACTTAGGGTTTCTGCACATTTCTTTATGTGAACAAGCAGAAACTTTTTTTTTAAAAAAAGGACAACTTAAGAACAGCCAAATCAGACTGAAGAAAAATGCAACAGAGGATTTGCTTTATAAGATATTGAGACAATATAAATGTATAAATAATAGTGTGATATTGGCACAGAGGGAAACAAATACATAGAAGGAAAAGAATAGAGAACTCAGTTTCACACAAATAGAAACCTGAAATATGATATGGTTGACTTGTACAAAATCATAATTTCTGGATAGATTAAGGTCTTGCATCTAGACATTAACACCATAAAATTATGAAACATTTAAAGAAAATATAGACTAGCTTCAATGATCTTAAGGTACAACGCGGTTTTTTATGTATGATTAAAAGTCATAAATCATTAAGGGATGCAAATTGGCAAAATCAATGAAATTAAATTTATGAACATCTGTTTATCAAAAGATACTCATTTCATAAGAAGAAAGGTAAGCCACAGCTAGGGAAAAAATATTGCAACGCATGTAGCAGATAAAAGACTAGCATCTCAAATGTATAAAGAACCCTTTTGAATCAATAAACAATAAACCAAAAAGAAGACTGCAATAAATATTTAATAGAAGAGCAAAAACAAAAAGTCAGTAAACATATGAAAATATTCACAACACTATTAGAATTTAGAGAAATGCTAATGGAAACTACAATGAAATTCAATCTCACATCCTTCCAATTGGCAAAAATTAAATGTGTGTGTATGTGCCTGTATCGTCTGTTGCTACTAAGTAGTGGTGAAGATGCAAATTGCTAGTAACATTCACATAGTGCCAGTTGAAGTATAAATTTGTCTAACTACTTGGGAAAATAAGTTGGCATTACCTACTAAAGTGTGAATATGACAATGTTCTATGATCCAGAAATTCTTCTTATAGGCCTAGCAATACACATTGACATATACATCAAGAGACATATATGGATGAATTTATTTATGTGTGTATTATAAATGAACCTAGATAAAAGACCACAATGTGGACAGTAAAAACAGATGCATGTGTGTATGTGATTGGCTGGTTGCTGGGTAGGGGTGTGGATACCCAACTCAAAACATGGAGTTAAGTGAAAGTCAAATACAGAGTGAACAAATTCCTACCTGCCTTTTCCTTTTTGCCCCCAAAACACTGATAATTAGGCAGTCAGCCTTATACTACCCTAATATAAGTTTAGAATATTCATTTTTTTGGGGAAAAAAGAGACCCAGATGTATTGATAGATTGAATATATGTGTTTTTAAGTCCAATTACAATTTACATACTTTTACTTCTAAACTTCACTATTGCTGTATCTCAGGTTTTATTAGGTATAATTTCATTAGTTTTTTTTCTCCGTATTTTCTAATTTAAACTATGATTTCTTATTTAACCCATAGATTACTTAGAATTGTGAGGTTTAAAAAATGTATCTTTATAAATGCATTGGGTATTTTTTAGTCATATTGTTATTACTAACTTTTAAAGTCTTTCATTGTATTTTAATGTCCTGATTGTGGCCAGTTCAATAAATGTTCCATGAGTATATGAAAAGAGTATGTACCATTGTCTTAATTTGTGTTTTTTTTTTTTTTTTGTTTTTTATTCTTTTTTTTTTTCTTTTTTGTTACTTTTGTAATTTCTTCTATTATAATGGTATTTTGATTTTATTTACCTTAATTTTTTTTTTTTTTTTACCTTTACTAATTTTGAAGTTATAGACTTTATTTATATGCTTGTAGTTACGGTAGCTCCAAGCTTTATCTCCTGGTTTTGACGCTCTTGAGGTCAATTGAGTCTCAGGTTCTAAGCTACATTTGGAAGATCCCCTCAGAGAAACTGACTGCTTGGATGTTCTCTATTTGTTTTGTAATCTTGCTGCTTCATTCCCTCTCTCCTTCAATTGTTTTTCTCATCCATGTTTTAAAAAAGTATTTTAAACTTTATCATACTATTTGTACATTTTAAAACTATTTTTATACTTAGTTTCCTAGGTTGTTGAAAATTTTAAAAAATTAACTAAAAAATAAAATTTCTGGCATTTCAAGTAATTTGGGAGCATTTTAGGAAGTGGACGTACAGACTCAGACATTCTGAGACATTTAGTTAACTGGTTCTACCTTTTTCTGCCTCCTCAGTGGTTCTCAGATAATTCTAATGATTTCTCTAGTTTAATCCTCATAGTCGGAATTATATGACGTACCGAGATTCTTGAGTTCATTTCTGAGATCTTGGCGTAATGGCAGAAGGAAAAGAATATGCACTCTATTTTCTGATAGCTCTTGGTTTAAATAATAGTTTTTTCACTTGCTAGTTATGTGACTTTCTGTACAGCACTTAACTTCTTTTGGCCTCAGTTTCTGCTTTAGAAAATGAGCATCCTATTATTCAAATAAAATGTTAAAACAAATATTAATCTTAATTTTAATCAATAATGTATGTCTGCCATTGTCATCCCTTTGTCCCTTCAGATTTATTTCCTATTCTTCTCAACTCTCCTCTCTCATCTGGGAGGCCCACTTTTATGAACTACACTCAATATACCACTCCAGAGGACATACAGTATTATGTAAATAGCCTAGCATAGTGACTGAAATAAGAGAGGTGCTCTTTAAATATTTGTTGAAGAAAGAATGAACTTTAAATTATTCCTAACTATTATTATTGAAACCAAAGACATTTACAAAGTTAAGATCCAACAGTAGTAATGACATGAATATGACATGGTGTTGAACCATGTTTGAAACCCTATAGTAATCATTTTTCATGCACAATAGCAGGGATCGGCAAACTATGGCTTACAGTGTACATCTGCTCTGTCATTTGTTTCTGTAAGTAAAACATAGCCACCTTCATTTTTTGCATGTTGTCTGTAGCTGCTTTCATGCTACAACAGCAGCATTGAGTCACCGTGGCTGAGGCTATACAGCTCACATAGCAGAAAATATTAACTAGTTGGCCTTTTTCCAAAAAAAAAAAAAAAATGTTTATAGCATTTAATCTTCACAGTGACTCCATGAAGTATATACAATTTCATTACCTTTTCTCACATGAGGAAACTGAGACAGAAATATTAATTAGCTTGTATATACTATTGCAGAAAAGATTCAAGACCATTTTAATTATTTTAAGACAATCAATTATGCATTTCCCCAATGTATTTAGATGTCTTGACTAAATTGTCCATTCTTTATGTATAAAAATCTAAAGAGGAAAATAGACCTATTAATTTAGACATTATGGATCAAAAGGGAAAAGAGAAAAATTGTACTAATTTTTAATTCTTCTTTTCTTCTGCCCTCAGTCCTAGGGAAATATCTCTTACCATTGGATATATTTTTCAGGAAGGATGTGGTAGGATGTGGTGGTCATGACTTGAAGGATTTAAGGCTTCTATTTTGGGTCACTTAATTAGCTGCTCTAGGGCATTCTTGAGGTTCTCAGTTGACTATGGTTTGAATTAGTGATATTTTCAATTAACTGTGGGTTTACTGGGATATAATTCCATTATAAATCTAGAAGTATCATATTTTATTAATATATAAAACCAACAATTGTATTGCTATCAATAATAATATAAAGGAGTACAATATATAACAAGGAGGTATCTATTAAAGTGATGTTTATAGCTATTATCATTGCTATAATTATTATCCAGCAGTAGTGGTAATAGTAGTAGTAATGGTATAATACACATTCACCACCACCACAACTGTTTTATATATATGCTATTGGCTGAACACTCACTGCAATAACCAATCTAATTAGTACAGTTTAACTTCCACAGCTCCTCAGTTATATATCCTGATAGATAAATATCTCTCATAGTCTGAACAAACCTTATTCTTCACCACTATGCATGTATGATGTATTTTTTTCTTTTTCAATAGATGCTAGAAGACAACAGGGATGCTCCCAACTCCTGAAATAGTTAAATCAATTATCACTGTCTCTGTGAAAACTTATCATCTTCTCCAGGCTTTTGAAGATTACATTGAAAAATTCAATGTAATCTCTTATCTGTGATTACATTGAATTTAAAAAATATCTCTCAGATGGTTATACTAAAAGCCCAGACTTCACCACCATACAATATATCTATTCAACAAATTACACTTGTACCCCTTAAATTTATACAAATCATTCAATTAATTAAAATATAACAGAGTGATTGATATATTGTATTACAATTACTTGAAAACTGTAGTGAGTACTCATTGAGTATAGACAGTCTTCAATTTCTGTGTTTACTTTCAGGAATTATTACATTGCCTAATAAATTGTACTTGGTGTTCAATAAATGTTTGATGAATAAATGGATGGATTATTTAATGAATGAATGGGAATAGAAATATGATGAAAGTTGATCAATGGATATGGACTAAAGTATTACTAACTGGAGACATCAGCTGGGACATTTCTGGACTTAATGAAAAGGAGATGAATGATACCACATATTTCACATATATATTTAACATTTTAAGAAACAAATACAATATATTGTTATAAATAATTTTAGTGTTATATAATTATAAAATATTTAGCTTCTAGATTTGCTTCTCAGAAATACTGCCTGTATTAGAGTTTCAAAAATACTAGAGCATACATTATATTATCTTCTGCTTAAATTAAATTTCATTTAATTTAGTTGCTGTTTTTAATTTTGAAAATATACAGGGAAACATTAACAAAGAGTATGTAGGGTTTACTGGAGAAAATATTTAGGAAAGCAAGTGCAGTAGTAAAGAAGAAACAAGAACAAGAGGGAATAGGTAAACATTTTATCTGTCAACTTCATTCAATGTGCATTAAAAACACTTTCATCTGCTTGTGGCTGTAAAAGTCCCCTGGATGCTACTAAGCTGTCTGTTATTACTTAGTGATCTGGTATTGCTTGCTTCAGCTAATTAGTAATATCTCATATATATTCAAAGCATATTATGGTGTTTACCCTGATATTGGTTGACATATAATAAAGAGAAAAATTTTAAAGTATTTAACATGAAAATATGAGTGTATTAAATTTTAAACAATTTTAGTTTTTACAAATAAGTGTAAGAGATGCACTTAGAGGCAATGCACTGCATCTCTACAAGTGAAAAGTTTTGAATAGTTTTGGTATTGACCAAGATGGCTTTAACATTTCCCTCTGCTTGATTAAACTTTAGATCAGTTTCTTCCTGATTATAGGCTTCTGACCTCCCTTTTCTTACAGTATTTACTTGAGAAAACTTGCAATTGTAAATTATTCTTCTGCCCTTTGAGATGTAAATCTTCTATAACCCAACACTTTCTCTAGGACCTGGGAGCCATCCCTTTAAAACATAATCTGAAGAAGTATAAGGCTCTTATCTTCCAGCTTTTATGGGGGAGTAGGAGCCTAACTTCTTTATATGTCAAATAGCAAACATCTATGGCCTAGTCACATTGACCAACCTCTCCTCTAGTGTCCTTTAGGATGTTTCCATTAGCTCACCTCAAGTGCTTAAAAATTTTCCTACCTTTTGTTCCAGTGGAAATATCTCTCCCTTTATTGCAATAATACTGACCTAAATTGTAATATTTTTAATAAAGTCTTTCTAGAATTTTTAACAAAAATATCTGGTCCAATTTCTCTTTGACAGTATAGAATTTAAATAAATGTTATAAATAACAAGTTTATTTGTATTAATCATCCTCACAACTAATGACTTTTTATTTGAGTTAATACAATATTGGTTGCTACCGTTATTTAGCCCAGTCTTCAGATTTTCTTTTCTTTTTTAGGGGGTGGGGAGTAGGCCCCTGTGCTGGTTAATTTCTGTGTCAACTTAAGGGACCCAGACATTTGGTCAAACATTATTCTGGGTGGGTATGTGACGATGCTTCTTGGTGAGATTAACATTTGAATGGATAGACTAAGTAAAGCAGATTGCTGTCCCTAATGTGGGTGGGCCTTGTGCAATCCATTGAAGACCTGAGGAGAACAGAAGGGCTGAGTAAAAGGAAACTCTTTCTACCTAAGTACTTGAACTCACATTAGTCTTTTCCTGCCTTCAGACATGAACTGAAACACTGTCTTGTTTTGGATCTTGAGCCTGTTCGCTCCTACTGAAACTTATACCATCAACTCTCCTGGTTCTCAGGCCTTCAGACTCTTACTGAAGGTATATTAGCAGCTCTGCAAAGTCTCCAGTTTACCAACTGCAGATCTTGGGAATCTTTAGCCATCATAATTACATGAGCCACGCATCTTTAAAGGAGAATTTGTAGGAGATGGAGCTTTAAATGTTGGGTCCTTTTTACTCTGGAGACAAATGTAATTATGTCAGTCTAAACTTTGGTGAGTGACAGGAAGGTAACCGTAAATATTCATGTCATTTATAGACTCTTAGGAGTCACCTCTCAATTTTCCTTTCTAGCACTGATAACCGACTGAAAATAGGTGGAAATTGGAGACATGAATCCAATGAACTTTCCCAATGAATTTTGCCAAGTTTTTAAGTAAATGATGGTGATGTTATAAAAAGTTAATGAATTATTGAGAGAGTTGCTTGACTCATGCAAAATTCTCCATGACCTACATTTTATACAGAAAACTAAAT